CCGAGTTGTAAGGTGGGACCCAAGTCTGTCAGGCTTCTGAGGGCCCAAGCTGATCCAGGAAGTCACAGTTCCACCTTGAACTCACTCTCCTTGGGTAACCCTTCCCTCTGCACCAGCATTCACCACCACCACCACCCCAAACCCCCAATGCCCCCGACCCCCCAGCCCAGCATCAGCAGGGTAAAGCAAATGGCTAATTAGTCATCACCCCAACTCCTCGGACCCAGTGTTGGGGAAACAGGAACCAAAGAAACCAGAGCACATTTCCCTAGGATTCTGTCTCTGCTCACACTCCAAAGAGGACAGAAGGCCTGGATTTGGCCTGTAGCAACCTAAGGCTTTCCAGTAACACAGGGTACAATGCAGGCATCCCATGCACCTGGAAAGGCCCCACAATCTCATTCCCTGCTGCCTTGGTGGAGAGAATATGATGGGCTAGTGTGTGTCATTCCCCCTTTGCACATGGGAGTGGTGGGGAATAATTCCTAGACGATTAGTAAACCCCCTTTACCCCCTTCCCTCCCAGCTTCACTAACCTGGGACACCACGAAAAATACACAATCTAAATACTCCACTGTTTTTTAATCCCCTACAGCCCTTGCCCAGTCCCAGTGTTGCTGCCGCCACCATCCATCCCATCCCTCCCCTGCAGGGAATTACAGGCGCCGTTGCCAGCGTCCCTGTGAAATGCAAAGCCAGCGCAGAAACAGCACAGCTCAGCATAATTCCATTTCCAGAAAGATTGTAGCTCAGAGACAGCCGCATGATATCCCATGCAGGCCACATGCAGAAGGTGAAGCAGGACCCTATGCCTCCTCTTTGTAAGGAGACAGACACCCATCAACACTCCCTGGAACACCGGCTTACCCCAAGCTGGGATGTGGCAAGAGGCTGGCACACTTGCCGGGCACCATCTCCAGGAGCACAAAGTCTTCCAACCGGCTGCTTGGTAGGACAGCGATGGATCGTGGTGCCTCCAGTCTGTCTCCCTGATGCTGCACTGTATGTGCCTGGCACAGGGCTTGATCCAAAGCCAACAGCCGTTGGTAGAAAGACTCTCACTGACTTCAAATGGCTTTGGAGCAAGCCCAGACTGAGGAGTCCAGCATCAAAGCTGCAGGACTCCATGACAGCTGCATTTGCGACTTCCCAGAGCGATCTGCCATTCAAGCCAGTTTTGAAGCATGGTGCTTTATCTTATCCTGGGGGGGGAAGGGGGGGGGGGAGAGAGCAGGAAAGGGGAGGGGAGGGAGGTGCTTGGTTAAAATCAGGTAAGATTTCACTCTGATGGGCAGGATTCCTACATCATCAGCTGGCACAAATGCCACAGCGTCGCACACGCGCCAGCTTGGGCTTTGACATGGCCTGGTCACTGACGACAGCGGACTTCTCTTTTGAAGGTGTGTTAAACCTTTGATACAGAGGTTGGGAATAATTTTAAGACGACACACGCCTCTTCCTCTCCCTTTTCTTATCAAAGTCTGGTCCGAATCCTGACAACTGTTCATTCCTCTCTATAAAAGGAAGCCAGTCTTTTGAGACAAACCATGGTCTGGTTGTTAAGGCACTCGCTGGGGCCTCAGGAGACCCAGGTTCCAATTCCCAGCTCTGCCACTGACCTGCTGGGTGTCCTTGGGTGAATCACTCCACATCCATTTCCATTCCCACCCTTTGTCTGTCTTGTCTGGTTAGTCTATAAGCATTTCAGGGTAGGGGGCCTTGAACATAGCTTCTGTGTCTGTGTCTGCACAGCATTCAGGAGGTGTGATTGCCACACAGGTGGGCACACTATCAAACAGGCAACAAAACGGAGGATATACAATGCAGCAGTGCTAACATCCCTTTGATGAATGGATGTGAAACATGGAGAGTTGACCACAGACACATTAAGCAACTTGAAATATTTTCCATGTCCTGTCTCCGTTCTAGTTGGAAGATCCACTGGCAAGACAAAGTCTCCAACATTAACATCCTGAAAAAAGGCAAAAACAACCAGCATCGAGGCAATGTTCAGCAAAGCTCTTCTTAGATGGACAGGTCACGTAGTCAGACTGGGCAACGACAGACTCCTAAAAGAAGTTTTCCCTGGTGAGCTGAAACTCGTAAAGCACAGCAGGACAACGAAAAGGCTTCAGACACCCCCGTAAGCAGAATCTCACCTCATGCAGCCTAAATACCGATTACTTCGAAGACAGCCCCAGACAGATCTGAATGGAGAGCAACTATCAAAGGCTTTAAACACTTTGAGGAAGGCAGATATGAAAAATGGAATTAAAAAAAAAAAAGCCAACCTCATGCCAAGTCTTCAATGGGAGCCTGCGTATTCCTACATGATATCTGTCTGCCACCTTCCCCCTCACCCATTGGACTCCTTAGCCACATGAGAACACAAGTGATGCCTTGACATCATCTGATACGATGGACAGCCATACAGACATACTGTGCTAGCTTTAATCTAGCTGGCAAAGCTAAAAAGAGCAGTGAAGCTGTGGCAGCGGCTGTGGCACGGGCTAGTTACCCGAGCACAATGCTGCCTGGGATCCGGGGTACATTGACTAGCATGTGCAGCTATGGCATCATTGCTATTTTTAGCTGCACTAGCTAGATTAAAGCTTGCTGGTGCATGTCCTGAGTGCTCGCAGACACAGCCTATGTTTGTACGGCACCCTGCAGAGTGGGGCCTTCGGGGCTCGGATTCAGTCAGTCGGGTGTACCGGTTCCTCGCTGAAGCTGCTGCCGTGTAATATTGAATCTCAACTTTCATTTGAAAACATCGCAACCATAAAATCTAGAGATTTAAAGAACACCTCCAAGTCATGACTCAAGTGTAACCAATGCAGAGAGGTCTGTGCTGAGCTCTCAACTGCCCCAATCATCTCACAAGGAGTTAACTCAGATACCCTAAATTATCACCACTGGATATCTACACAGCAAAGAAAAGCCTGCGGCACCAAGTCTCAGTTAGCTCAGGCTCGCTGGGCTTGGGCTGTGGGGTTAAAAACAGCACCATATATATATTTGGACTCGGGCTGGAGCCTGGGCTCTTAAGCCCAGAAAGAGGGGAGGGTCTCAGGGCTCAGGCTCCAGCCTGGCTGGAATGTCTACACTGCTATTGACCCACGCTCAGATTCAGTGCTGCAGGTTTTTCTTTGCAGTGTAGACATACCCGCCAACGTCAGCATTGTTTCCTTTCACTCCTCATGTGAGGGGAGGGTCACAGCTCTGCACAATTTACGGTGCGTGATGGCTCCCCTCCTGGCAACTGACATGGGTGAAGCTTATTTTGCGGGCAGAGCATGGAAGAGCACCACCACTTCACCCCCCACCCGCAATGCCAACGGGGGCCTTTATGCACTCATGGAATTTAAGACGACACCATCTCATTCCACTCCTGAGTGCTTCAGTAGCACCAGCTGAATCCCCCGCAGGAAGGGCTGGCTCAGTGATGCACGACCACTGACAAACTAGGCAGACACCCTGCCTGGGTTCAGTCCCAAAGGGCGCACACGGCAGCTGTCCGAAGCACGCACCCAGCTTTATCAGAGGAGATGCAACTCCAGCAGGCGCGCCGATGAGACAAAGAGGTGAACAGGAAAACAAAACAAAAGCACTCTGAGAAAGAAAATTTAATAACTTCAGTGCATCTCTTGGGTTTGTCCAACACTGGAGCAGCTACAACCCCTCTTGCCACATAAAGCCACATTAAGTGCCTGTGGATCTCTAACCTTTAACCTTGTCAGTGGTTGCTGAGCATCTGGTCTGGGTCTTGCGAGGGGCTTTAGTACAGTAAGTAGATTCCTTTTGCTCTTGGTTCACCTGTAATTAGCCACACTAGGTACAGTGTCAGTTTTCCATACATGTGCAATATATGTGACTGCCACAAGATCCTAGCTGTGCAGGCATAGAGGGGTCACAGTTAGCCAGCTGCTGCCAAAGAAGACGCTAGCAGGGAACAGACACAGACAAATCTATGGCAGAGGGGCCCCATCCAAATCCATGAGCTGATGGTATATACAATTACTTTCCCATGACTCTTCCCCCTCCCATCCCCTCAACACGACACTTTGGGGAATGGAAACAGCTCCCGTTGTTCGAAAGTGTCCACAGAGGAGAAATCAAATCTCAGCAGCAGAAAGCAACACATAGTAAATCCTGGTGTTGGCTCAGAAAAACACTAGGCTTAGAATTCACATCAAATGCGACCCCACTCTCTACCCACCAGGTGCAGAGCAGTGATTTATATACAAGCTTTCTCAGCCCCACAGAAATATCACATGGCACATGTTGACGGGCATCATTCCCCCATCACTCTGAGGGCAGACCCAGGCATGCAGTGAACTCCTGCCAGACTAAAACTCGGCTCCCTGCAAAGACATTCACTGGACTTTTCCTACTTCCTAGGAAGGGGCAAGAGAGAGAAGCATTAAAGCAGCGATGGTGGCTACAAAGACAACTTCCCGTCTCTGGAGCAGCATACACCTCACAAAACATGATCAGAGCAAACCAACCCATGGGAATTGGGGACTTTCAGTTAGTGTATGACCTACTATAAACAGAGCAACTCCATATTTTATCTTCAAATCCCAACCTCACCCCAACCATCTTTCCAGAAAATCACCCATGCCCATTTGGGCACAGAATGACCATCCTAATTCTCTCTCCGCTGTAGGCTGGCAGTAACCCTGGATAGGACCTTTCTGGTGGGGAGCTTTGAAGAGGTTTTATCTCTCTGGAGACCAAGGGATAGTCATATTGGCCCTCACACCACATGTCCTTTTCTAAAATTGAGGTGCCCCATATCTCCAGGACAATCACTGACAGGTTCCAGAACAGATGGGTTATGCTCAGCTGAGCCACCTTCAGATCGGCTGGCTGCCAATAGAACCTCAACCAATCAAGGAAGCAGTTCACCCCCCACCACCACCTTCCACACCCTCCACCCACAAAAACCAGCAGCAGCAGCCACCTCTGAAGTAGGACAGAGCCACAGAGACCATTTGTCGAGACCATCAAATAATAATTTACTGTGATTCAATCTGTGGCTTTGTACAGTTGCTGGGAGAGGAGGAGGCAAAAGGAGACGGGGAGGGGGAAAAAATGTTGCTTGTCACAGGCCTTGATGAAGTTTGAGACAGTCCATGCGGGGCTCAAGATATCCTCCTCCTTGTCTCCCTCCTCCCCCCCCATACTCCTCCCCTGAATCAGTTTGCTGCTGCTTTTGTTTCACCTCTGTCCGCGTGCGCCGCACAGTGGAAACCCCTCCAAGTCACGGTCCGGTCAACTGAAATGAGAAGGGGAAGAAGAACTAGAATCAGCAGCTATTCTTATGCTACCCGCTACCCAGCCCTTCAGTTCCCACTACCTCCTGCAGAGGGAACTCGAAATGTTACACAGGGCTTGGCGAGTGTGGGTTGGGAGAACGTGTTCATTTTTGAGAGTTAAGCCCCCGCTTGGCAAAGTACATGCTTGACTTTAAACATGCGCTTAAGAGAGCAAGCAGACACTTGGCTGAATGGGGCTTTATGCTGGGATTTGAGTACCTAACTCCCTTAGGCACCTTTCAAGACTCCAGCCTTTATGGATAAGAGGCATTTTAGCGTTGATGAGGAGCATGCTGGTGCTGCACCCTTGCAGGGCATGTTCCACCCACAAATCTCCACCTATTGGACGAAGGTGGGAAAATATCAGCATCTCCTCTCCCAGATGGGGCGCAGGCAAGGCAAACATTTTATATTGCTGTCTAAAACGTTCACAGCTGGGTGCCAAAGAGAAGCTGAGCACATGCAGCTCCCCGGGCTTCAGGGGGGATTGTGGGTGCTCAGCACCTCTGACAAATCAGGTGCCGCAGTGAGACAAGAGCAGAGTCAGGAATCGAATCCAAGCATCTCGACTCCCAGGCCCCAGCTGCCCCCAGCCACCAATACATCTTTGCCTCTCTTTTCCCGGCACTTCTGATTTTCCTCCCCCTCTACTCTTGGCCTTTACCAGATACTGCATCTAAAGGGAGCTGAGCGCCCAGGTGCCTAGGTTCTAATTCCTTCCTTGGCCACTGATTAATGGCACCATGGATAAGTCACTTCACCTCTCTGTACCTCAGTTTACTCATCATAAAAATGAGTGCACTGCCCCTGATCTACATCACAGGGGCACTGCAAGGTTCACTGATAATACAGCTCTGATTTTACTCCCCTGCTGTTGGTCACAGCTGCTGCCCTGAATTATGCAATTCCCTGGAACTTTTTGGGAAAGCGTGTCAGAAAGACACTCTCCCAGTTAAAAGCCGTATTGTGGTTTGCACTGCAAATAAATAAGGGTAAAGAGGCTCCGCTTTCCTCTGCGTAGAGAAAGAGCTGGACAGACACCCTGCAGCATCGTGTGGATTTCTGCTGTCCGCTCGGTATTTAAGTGTCAGTTTTCTGTCACTGCAGGGAAATGGCAAAGGCTCTTCATTGCCACTGGGATGTGGGGAACTCACAAAACATTTTCAAGGCCCCTTTGGAAAGATTGTCCATGTCAGTGATAGACGCCAGCCCCCCTCCTGCTTCAGCAGCACAATCCCTCCTGGTGAGGCAGAGAGGAACGGTAGTTTAAGGAGATGTTTGGAGCTGTGTGTGTGCTTTCAGCTGAAAACGATCACCGCCAGACCAGGAAACGAGCCCCACCACTCGTATCCCCATCCGGAGGAAATGCTTCCGAACATCTGGATTATCTGAACATCTGGAAACCTCCCGTAACAATAGCTGCACTCGGCCCAGCACGAGGATCAGTCCCACTGGGAGATCCCGTCCAGGATCCACTCTCCCCTCAGCAGAGAGCCATGGGGCAGGGCGGGGCGCTCCGCTGTTTTTGTTTAAAGATAGAGAGAGAATGTGGTGGTGGTGGGAGGGGGGGGCCTTGGGAAAAGCTCTGCTGAGCTCACAGCCTTGCCAGAGGCGGTGCTTCGAGATGCAATGGAGGAAGACAGCTGCTGCTCTTTAGCGGAGTTCCTGGAACTGGATAATCCCAGCTTTTCCCCTGGGAATTTAGAACCGGTTAAAGGCGATGGAGGAACAGCTCTGGCGCCTGGAGTCCTCTATTATCCAGGGAAAAGCTCATCGGGGCAGCAGCAGTGCAAGCTTCCCTGACTAGCACACTTCAACCCCAGCCCTTCAGGGAAAGAGGCTAGTTCAGTTTCTCTGGCCCATTCAGCCCTTGCTCTCTCCACTGACACTGCTGCAAGAAAGTCTCATTACCAGGGTAGTTTTGGTGACATGGAAAGCTGGCCAATGGGAAGTGGACTAAATCCACCACACTCATTCCATGCTTGCCGCCAGAGAGCTGATAGCAGCCTTTGCTCACTGCCATCCGGGGCCGGATTCCACAGGACCCTTTTACTTAATCAAAAGTTTAAAAAAAAGAAAGCCAGACATCCAACTCTGGCTCTGACTTGTATGATTTATAAAGGCAAACAGCCCTTTCATGACACTGTTGGCAGCATGTCTACACTGGAGCTGGGGAGGTAAATTCCCACCCTAGCTGTGAGGGTGAGGGAATTCCTTTTATTGAACCAACCTCTGCTGGTGCCAGAGACAAGCTCTTGAGCTCTACAGCCCTTGTCTCTTTCTCCAAAAGAAGTTGGTCCAATTAGAGAGAGAGAGATTGCCTCTCACCCACCTTGTCTCCCTCACACACTGGGACCAACACGGGTACAACAGCACTGTAAACAACTTCAAATCACAAATGCAGTCCCAGCCCCGCTTATCCAGACTGCTGTAGGGAGAGCGAGTACAAGGGAATCACGGAGCTGCCCACTTCCTTCACCTCCCCGCTGTTGCCACAGGGGGGTAGCGGTGGGGTGTAATGGAACCTGACTTCATTTGCAGCTAGAGCTGGGGGGGGGGGGGGAAGGAGTGCGTGCCAATTATTTTCCATAGGAAATTTTGAAAAATTGTGTTTTTCCCCCCCTTTAATGAAAAAAAAACAAAAAATAGAGGAAAAAATACATTTTTAGTAAAAATTTGTCAGTTTTTTTTGTTTTAAAACTGACAATCTTTACCAAAAAATCCAGCTTTTTTAAATGAAAATTGTTCGTTTTTTCATAAACGAACAAAAACCACCAGAAAATGTTGACCAAAGCAAGGGTTTTCCGAGGAAATGTTTGTTTTGGCCGATAAGCTGGTTTTTTTGTTGGGGGAAAAAGGTTCAATGAAATCATTTCAACCTGCATTTTTTGCAGCCTGGTACGTTGTCAATTAATCCCTGCCTCCAGCAACGCCTGGCTGCAGCCCGCACCCATCTCTGGCACACCCCACTCCCTCCCACTGGGCTCACCTTGGTCATGATATCACACATTTACAATTCATGCAGCCTGGGCCACTTTCATCCGGTGGATTCAGCTTGCGTAGCTTGTGCTGCCGGATCTCCCGCACTAAGGTATAGAAGGCGTCTTCAACACCCTGGAAGAGAGGCACAACGTTCTGCTCAAAGAGCGCCACAGCCACTCGGAAAAAGGGTGGAGGTGAGGGCAGATGGATCGCGGGGAACACTAGGAGTCCCCTGCAGAGAACTGCATAGTGTAGTTCAAGTGGGTTTTGACTCGAGTTAAAGGGATGAAACTGCAAAGAAATCAACAGAGGAATCCCAGGAAATGGTTCCTCCTGGCAAAATGTGGCACAAAACTACCAGGCTACCAAAGGAAATGGAGGCTCCATCTCTAGGGACACCTAAAACGAGAGTGGACATCCCACTAGAAACTGTACTTGAACTAACAGCCCTGAGCCGACTGCCTCTTTCCCATCTCTAACCCTCCAAATCAGGGGCACTCCCCCCAGAAACCGTACCCATATGTAACGTGTGCCCGTCGCATGGACGGCAGGACGAGGAGATTAGCAAAACAAGTCAGGATCAGACAGCTAGGCAGTGAACGTAAGGACTAGCCCACAGCCCTGCAGAAAACTTCGTTTCAATACAGCAGACATCAACACACTTCTGTTGAACATCCAGCCCCTTAACACCCCTCTCGGCCCCCGAGGTACGCACATGGGGAAACTGAGGAGCAAACCATGTTGGGCCAAGGAGCACAAACTCCTGTCCCTCCCTCTGGATTGAACCAGAAGCCAGGACTCAGCCATGGACTGGGTTTGGTTAACACAGTCTCTTATATTTCAGTGTGGGGCTGAGCACGCGCTCATTTGTAGCACACACCCGAGAGGATCCTCTTCTTGTTCTGTGCTAGCCCCCGAGGGCTTGCAATCAAGAGCCCTTTGTTATAGATGCCCTCTTGCCCTTCTGCAGCCACTTCTTGTGGGCGTTTTCCTCACAACCAGGCAGACTGACCCGACAGGCATTATGAGGCCTTGCAGCATGGCCCCAAAAGAGACCAGCAGCAGAGGCTACGGGACCAAAGGGAGTGAAGATCAAGGTGCAATTTAAAATCATATGGGGCTGCAGGCTTTCATTAACTCTATGGACTTCACGTACCACATAGCCCTCCCTACGCCCCACGTGACCCACTCGGAGCTGTGCAAGCCTGTGATGTAGCCCTCCCTCCAGCAAGGAGAGACAGCTCTTCTCTAGGGCGATGGGATAACCCCTGTATACGTGTCTCTCTCTCTATACATATGTCTGCAGGGTCAGTGACCTGAGAAGACACCTAAGGATGAAGAGTTAGGAGATGAACACAGGGAAGCTGCACAAAAGTGCATTGGAAACCATCTGCTGCCAGTGCCAGCCTAGGACCCATCCAACTGCAGCACGTGGGTGGCTTTTTAACCCTTTTTCGGTAATCCCGCCCGTGAGTTGGGTGCTGGTCAAATGTCCCTGAAGAACAAAGTCCTCCCTCTGTCCAAAGGGCAAGCATCATCCCCACAACCCTCTGCCAGCGTGTCTCAGCCCTGGCCTGCGGGGACCTAGCAGCAAGAAGGTCTATTCAACCCCAGGCCTCTCTGCTGAGACTACCAACAAGAGCTCCCATTAGTGCCAATCGTGGAGTTGCTCTGGAGGTGCGGACTCATTCCACACAGGCTACCCTGTGGCCACGCCTTTCCAGCCTGTGCATTAAATTCCACCCGCTCCAGAGCTCACACACAGGGCAAGCCCCCACTGTGCAGGGGACTCAACCGGCTCACTGGGATAGGGAGAGGAATTCGCTGCTGGAACGTTCAGCCTTGAGGCGGCAACTGACTCCTCCGACCATGGGCATTTCTCCCCTTGAATCTACACAGCACGCGACCGCCACAATAATTCACTGGTCGCCTCTGCCATCTCCAGACACTGGCACCAAGAAGTTAGGGAAAGAGCAGGCAAGACAAAAGACACTTCTTTTTAGAGAGGGGAGGCAGAGAAGAGGTAGCCACTAACCCTGAACCTCATGCGTTCTCCTAGGCCTAGCACCCGGGGGACACAGCTCCATCGGGAATTGCTGTGGGTAGGGCAAGGGTGGCATTAATCAGATTCCTGGGGGGGCCCATTTAATCCTGCAAGACACTCGTGTAACACAGCGATGAGTGCAGCACTGATACACTATCCCTGTGCATTGGTGCAACATGGGCCTTCATGCTGTGACGCAGCATCAGATCATCACAAAGCAAACCAGCATTGTCGGCCAGGACAGAAGTAGCAGCCTTGGAAAGGGCTGAAGGGGGGCGGAGGGGGAGGAGGGAGAAGTGAAGAGATCCGGCCGTGGATTTATCACTCCAGCACCATCACTCAGTTCGCCCAGGTGCCAGCTAGCCCCCAAGATGGGTTTCCTGGCAGCTTTATCCCAGCATCCCGACTGCGGTAAATCACTGCCAGCGCTGGCCTGCTCTAATTCATGCTCACTCCCCTGCTCACTGGCACTTCAGAGCTGTCAGAGGAGACGCAGCACGCTGTGTAATTAGCAGCTGGAGCATTGCTTGCCTGACAGCAAATGCATGTTGCTCTGTCAACAGGGCTCTGCGTCGGCCATGCTGCTGTCAGTCACGGGGCTCACAGAACTGCTGCGTGAGGGGGGGGGCAGGCTCAGGGACTGTTTCCTCACACAACGCAGGGAGGGGGCAGATGGCAGCTGTGGGAGGGGCGGGGCAGAGGAGGAGGTTCCTTCTGGCCGAGCTAGCTAGGCAATTTCTTACAGCCACAACAATGGAACGAAGCACTGAGAAGAGGCGGTAACTAGACAAGCTGGTGTAGCCTTACAAGTCTAGCTGTTTGGTGCTGGGGCAGCTCTCCAGGCACCAATCCCAGAGCCGTGGGCTTTCAGGATATGCTGTATCGACACCCCCATCTCTGGCATTACCAGAGATATTCCTACCTGGAATATTCCTACCAGCCCCAACCTACGCAACCCAATGTGACTGTCACCACAGAGAAAGAGAGTAGGACCTACACACTAAGTGCTGAGAGTGGAATGTTTAGATGGGTCACATGAAGATAGGGGTTTGTAGGTGTGCAAAAAGGGGGCCTTTGAGGACTGCTATTGGTTCACATTTTAAAACCATCTCTCCTCCTACCTGTCTGGTTTTCGCTGATGTCTCTATGTAGGGGATCCCGTAATTCCTGGCCAGGTCCTGTGCTTGCCGGGTTTCCACTGTCCGGGCTGGAAGGTCACACTTGTTTCCCACCAACACCATGGGGACATCGTCTGAATCCTTCACTCTCTTGATCTGCTCTCTGCAGAGACAGAGATGCCGAAGTGAGGAGAGAAAAAGCCAGGGGAGGAGCCATTTCATTATCACAATGACAACAGCAGCTAGTTTCAGAGAGCTCCTCCTGGGAGCAGAGCACGTGCCACTTGTAATTGACAGGAACAGAATTCCGCTCCACTAATACAAGCCCCAGTGAAAGTCAAGAGAATTTGTGCTTCTAAGTCGTTTAGGTTTCAGAGTAGCAGCCGTGTTAGTCTGTATCCACAAAAAGAAGAACAGGAGTACTTGTGGCACCTTAGAGACTAACAAATTTATTAGAGCATAAGCTTTCGTGGACTACAGCCCACTTCTTCGGATGCATATAGAATGGAACATATATTGAGGAGATATATACACACAT